AATCCGGTCCTGCTCGAACCGGTTAAGTGATGTAAACACGACGTAATCCTGGTGTCCTGGCGAAAGCTCGCCTTGAAAGTCAAGGTCGCGGAAAAGGACGCGCCACAGCCTTATTTGGCAACTCGGAATAAAATTTCAACGCTTAATCGTCAATTCCGATCGCCGACGTTTGTAATTTAGCAGGAATGCGTATACTGGCCAGCAAACAGAGCGTATCTCGCACGAAATCCGTTGCTAAATTCGCTGTTTCAACAGCAGACGCATACGAATGTGCACGATCCAATTCGACAAGAGCCTTTTTTCAAACGAGGAAATAGTTAAATAATGCTTCAATTCCGAATAGTTGGCACGGGGATTTACGTAAGTTAATTAGCAACAATGCTTAATTTCGGCACGTAGACCGACGCGAATCGAGGGATTTGATTCATATGAATGAGTTTCACTTTTACGTGATGGACTTGCACAATGACAATGTTGGTAAATGTTGGTAGTGCAGGCTGCATTATGTGAATGCAGGTAGTGTTTGCATTCAGATGCACCCGATGTGGGGCAGTGGGATAAGAAATGCAATCGCACTTGGGCGACAAGTGGGCTGGTCATCCGGCGCATCCACCATTTTGCAACATTTGAAAGTAGAGCGGTGCGAGCTGAGGTTAAAATATGAGGTCAAATGTTAACTGCTATTAAGGCTTAATATTTATTGCACCTCGTAATGGTTGAAATATTTTCCGGTATTTAATTATTATAGCTGGGAGTGTCTTCGACACCTCCACTGATTTTACACGCCAGTGCACACTAAATGTGACTTTTTCGTAAAAATGTTTGCCCAACTTCAAATTGATACATACATACTAGCCATCTATTTTATTTCTACCGTTGCTATCACTAATTTGTTTTATTTTTAGTAGTTCAGAAACTTCAGCTTTTAAATCGTTCAAAGTACCGGGTGACTATTAATGTTTGAAGCAAATTTTTGTGTTGGCAATACTGAATTAAGACAGCAATGTCAACATGTCAGTTCACAGTCGTCAATTTTGACAGGAGCGCGCCTTACAAACGTGAGGGAGGAGATAACTTGATCATAAAATTTTAAATATGTTTCCAACCTGGCAAAAAAGTCACAGTCACTGATAATCACCCGGTATTAGGACATAAATTAACTGAAATACAAAAGACGAAAGAATTATAACTTTAAAAAGTACTGTAACGGTCGGCCTTTTAAAAATATTTGCAATCTCTGGTTTTCTAAAATTTATAATTAGAAATCACATTGTTTTAATATGTATGCTAGTGAACTAGGATATAAGGAATATTTAGTGTATTTGATACCATACGATCGAAAAAAAGTTCTCTAGTAAAATTTATTTTTAAAATAATGATATTGGCAATACCAAATCGTTCCTTGTTCTGTTTGACAGTTACGGTCAAATAACTGTAAACAATTAACAATAAATTCCATAGCTTACTAGAGGAATGAATTGTTAAAAATAATCTTATTTATTCAAGTTCACGTGTATGATTTTAAATTTTGTCAGTTCTAATAAGTCATTTGCCAAAGTAAGTCTTATCTTAGCCAATACTAACCTCGCTCACAAGCCCTCTATTTTCTTAAAGGGTATGTCATTTCCCAAAGTCAGTCTTAACTTAGCAAGTACCAGCTCCGCCCACCCACCCTTTGTTTTCTTAGAGGATATGTCATTTGCCAAAGTCAGTCTTATCTTAGCAAGTAGTAGCCCCGCCCACCCACCCTTTATTTTCTTAGAGGGTATGCCATTTGCCAAAGTCAGTCTTATCTTAGCAAGTACTAACCCCGCCCACCCACCCTTTGTTTTCTTAGAGGATATGTCCTTTACCAAAGTCAGTCTTATCTTAGCAAGTACTAGTCCCGCCCACCCACCCTTTGTTTTCTTGAAGGATATGTCATTTGCCAAAGTCAGTCTTATCTTAGCAAGTACTAGCCCCGCCCACCCACCCTTTCTTTTCTTCGAGGGTAGGCGATTTGCCAAAATCAGTCTTATCCTAGCAAATACTACTTTCCATACAGTCCATCAGTCAGTCAATCAATCTATTCCATTTCAGTACATTACTGAATATTAAAAAATATTGTTGACAACATGAAGAATCCTTAACCTCCGAAATTTTTATTTAAGTGGTTTAATTTTTTTGACACATTGTTTAAAGTGTACTGAAAATATGTGGTATAAATATAACCACTAACACAAAGTTAGGATTAACAAAAATGTTTCTAAGGAAACCTCTCATGTCACAATTATTATTACTTAGAGTTTTTTGCACATGACCTGTTGTATGACGTTTGACATTTGTCTCAATACTGGGTGACTATTAATGATTTAAACAAATTTTTGTGTTGGCAATTCTGAATTATTGGCAGCAATGGTAGTATGGTAGTTCACCGTTGTCAATTTGACATGAGCGCTCCTAAAAGATGAGATGAGAGAGGGCAATTGTCAATTACTGACTTACATTATATTTTTTTTTTTAGTACCATAAATTGCAATTGGACAGACAGTTGTGTCATTATGTAATTTTGAAAATGTTGCCAACCTGACAAAAAATTATAAACATTAGTCGTCACCCCATATTCTATTAGTCGTTTAAAAAATAACTTCAAAAGAACGAGGTTATGGATTTGTCGAGTGATATTTGACGTATATGTCATGTTCGTGACGTTCTTGAAAAAATTACAAACAAAGAGTTTCACGAAAGCTAGCATTGTGAAACAGTTCTGAACTATTTTGAATACAAAGTAGAAAATATATTTGTTTTAAAATAAACTGTCTGAAATCATTTTAGTTTCTTATACTCTTTGAACTCATTTATGACAAATCATATATGATTCAAGCTTTACTGTCATTTTGACACATTTCAAAAATCTATTTTGACAAACGATGCCTTTGATATTATTAATATCCGACAGATATGACACTACCGTCAGTAAATTAAGGTTATCTAAATAAAACACATTTTACAAGTTATGACATTAGTAAATGACAACTGCCCAATATTTTTTAAACAAAACTGTACAGTCACCCATATGTCAATTTTTTTAGTAAAAATTGATATACTAAATTTTTTTCTCATAGTTACAGTCCTGTAAAAGTCAACGTAACATTTCCCGAGGCTATAAAATGACATTTTTTTTACTAATGACAGTTTGTTAGAAGGCAATAATGTGACAGTTTTAACCTGGCTAACTCTGTTGGCAATACTTTTTAAACAAAAATGTGAACTTTTCTTGCTTTTATGTTGCATAACGGAAGTAATTTTATGACAGATATGTCAATCGTAACATGCGATAAATTTAGCTTATGTTTAGAATATATTTTGAAAATTAAAAATGTCAACAACCTGTAAGTCTTAACAGCTCACAATCGGAAATTATACAAAACCATGATCATGATACCAATTTCAACTAAAAATCTAGGATTGCCAACAGACTCAGTCATTCCTGATCACGCGGTGGTTTTGTCAAGGGAAGAAAATTTTAATTAGAAGCTAGAACTAACTAACTCGGAAAATTTTTTCATGTACTGCTATTGGTGAACCTGATTCGAATATTTGGTACTATATTATACCACTTTTAAGAGCTTAAAAAAGCTATGCTATGACAGTGTCAAATTTTAACAAAAATCAATAACAAGTTTTGATTTAAATTTAATGTCACTGTCAATCATGTCCATTTTGACAACAGGATACTTCCTAGCTAGAACTGTCATCCCACATAGTAATTCAAAACACATTGTTTTTGTTTATTTTATTTTGACATTTTTGTCACGAAATTTCAGATTTGAAGTTTTTTTGTACTACCAACTTGGCAGTGTAAAAATAAATCCTAGAGGAGTTTTATTTGCTACCAACTTAATTCAACAGGTGTTGGTTTTTTATTTTTGATTAAATAGTAGTACCGAATGACTATTAACAATTGAAGCAAATATATGTGTTGACAGTTCTGAATTATTGGCAGCAATGTTACTATGTCAGTTCACAGTTGTCAATTTTGAAATGAAGGCGCAATAATATGACGTCATCAAATTTTTTTAAATAGTATTACAACATTTTCTTTCATTTAATCAGTTTTATAATATGAAATTATAACATAATTCTTACAGCAATTTTTTCGTAGAAGCGTTGATAATTTAATTGTTAAAATATATCCCCCAGGAAAATTCTTTCAGTAAATTCATAACATTACTTTTACATGTAATTTTTCTATGCTTTATTTGGATGGAATGACATTTACTTTTAAACTAATAATGCCTTCCTAGTTTGACAATTGTCAAATAACTGCAATACCAACATTATTATACTAAAAACAAATGTCATAGCCTACTACAGAACTTTTTTCTAGCATTGTTCTATTACAAAATAAATTTGTTTTAATTACATTTTTACTGACAGTTGAATACTGAATGTCAGTATGAATCAAGTTAAGTTGGCAGAAAAATGATGTTTTCAGTTTTCACTACTGCTTTTAATTAAATACCGAGTGACTATTAATGATTGAGGCAAATTTATGGGTTAGTAATTCTGAATTATTGGCAGCCGTGTTAGCATGTCAGTCAAAATTGTCAATTTTGACATAAGCGCGCCTAAACACCAATGGTGCCTAAAATTTGAATTTGACATCAGGTATGCCAATGTGACAAAAAAATCAAAAACAGTAATAGTCATTCGATATTTACAGAAATTTTTTCTAAATTATTATTATTATTATAGTAAAATAGAACCCTCATACACACAAAACTGTTGAAATCGACAGATTAATTAACAAAAGACATGAAATGGAACCCTGTACCACTCAGACCACAGTGCCAGTTTCTGTTTATGCAAATGCAAGTTCTCTTAACCATTTTGTCAGCCTGAACAAAACGCCACTTCGTCGACTTTCTAGATTCCGCGTTAACCCATCATTCATTTTTTCAGTGGGAGGTCGATCTCCCAGATACCCGCAATTTTTTCTCCAAATCCGTTTTTTCCAGGCCATTGTATTCCTCACCGTCTGCTGCCTAGTCGTCGTCCGAGGCCAGTTCTTCGACGGTTTCGACTCCTCCTTCCGGGGCTTCGGGGGCGGCTTGGACTCCCCCTTGCAAGCGACCAGAGACCCCAGACAGAACCCAGGACCCGTGGTGTTCCCTCCCGCGCCCCCAGACAACGGCGAGACCAGCGGCGTCGTCGTGGGCGCCTCCGGATACGGCTTCGTGCCCCCGGGTTCGAGTAAGAGCATTTAGCACACAATGCGTCCGATTCATAGCATGTGAACGCGGTACAATGGCAGTAAGTTGGCGCAATCACGACCATTTATCGCCATGATCATTGGCTTTCCCATTATTCATCATCTTCAAAGACGTTGTGCGGTTGTAGCGCGGTCGGAGGGCGCTTGTCCTTTCCGGATGAATTGTACTACGTGGAGAGTGGCGGAATGGCGCTTTTTGCACTGGATTGTCCACTCACATTTCTTTGGTCGTGGAATGTCAATGAGCGAGACGAAATTGCCGCAACGAGAGGCAGTCGAGCGCTAAAGCGGATGTTTTGCGTTGGGATAAGAGCGTGCTGCATATTTGTTTATCTAAAGACATTAACACATTAATGGAAACGTGGCGGGTAATGATTCATAGCATTTAGAACATTTTTCATTTTAACTAATAGATGGAGGGGTAAGCTGGGCTACATGGTAATCTGTCACGATATACCTACCCATTCATTCCATTTTACTAAACTATCAATTCGAAATTTGTTAAAGTTAGGGACAATGTAAATCAATTTCAGATGGAGGTAGCCGAAGAAGTTTCTAGATAGCGTAAACATCAAGGTATGTATTGAGATACCAGCAAACGTAATGACGTCAAAACCGAAAATTATAAAAACTGAGAAGCAACTAATAACTTCAAATTTTGCTCCTTTGAATTATATTATAACACTCCTGGAACAGCCACTACTAATTTTGGTACTTTTTTCATACTCAGCAACTTCACAAATTCGTGGAATAAGCTAAGGTTCCTTCACGGACTTTTCAAAAAGTGTCGCGTTTGTTTGTATAATACCAGATAAACGACCGCCACTAGGTGCACCTTGAGATGACACTAATTTGATCACTGGTCTCCTTATGTCAATTAAATATTCATTATATGCATTTCCTTTTATTTGACCTCACGGTAAGGACGACTCCAGCAAGGTTATGGTCGAACAAACCTCCATGAGTGAGTTTTACCGAGTTACACAACCGATTTATCTGAATCAATTAATAGAAATTGTTTTTCGATTAAAGTGACTTATTTATGGTTAAGTTCCCGCAAAAAATTCCCATTGTTTTGAAATGTGATACGGCCACAACTTTCAATTTCGCGTTCGAAATAAATCTGAAGTTTATGGCTTAGATATTTTATGAGTTACGAGGAACCCAGATTTGGCATTTTTACCGTTCTGAATTTCTCTCGGTGTTCTTCGCTATCGTTTCAGCGAGAATTAACAATTACCTAATCATCTTCGCTTTGTCTGCGCGTTTACCATATGGTATTAGAAAATGATAATTGCGAGTTCTCAAAAACTTTCAAGGTTAGCGTAATTCGCTTTTAATGGTCGCAAGTTGTATTTTTTATTGAGGAAACCAGATTCGGATGATTTTGCAAAACTTGGCGAAAGTGCTGGACTCTTTAATGTCTATGTATTGCTGCCAAGGTTACAGAATCCTTTTTTCTATCCTTAACATTTTTTTGTGATAACAAATTTTACGACGAGGCTAACTTTAGATTTTTTGCAGGATTTAGTTCGCAGTATTTCACCTTCTTCTGATCTCCGCCTTTCAGCATCAGAACTGCCATTGTAAAATAGTTTCCGAAGAGTTTCTTTGATGTAAATACGTCTATATTAGAACAATTGTACAACTTTTTCTATTTAATGACAATTTGTAATTATTTAAGTTAGGCTAAGTATTTAATTGTAGTTAGCTCTCTTGCATTTGTCGACATGTGCAATGTTATTTATTAAAGTTGTTTTACATAAACCGTGCTTTCATTCACCTTAGACAATTGAGCAACAATATATGTGAAAAGTGCAATTTAAAAATAGTTCTTTTCGGACGGATTTGGCAACAGTTTGAAACTTACACTTAATATATAACAATTAAAAGTGCATGCATGAAAGAACAACTGCAACCAGCGACCCAGTTTTCAATTTTGGATGCCAACGAAAAAAATTGATTCGATTTATATCGACACAAAAGTAAAAGTTGTGATGAAAAGCAGATTTGTTGCTACTGTTCCGATAAAAGACGTTACAAACAAGATATTTCGTCAGACGATGACATTTATTTTCATCAAAGGAAATCCAAGACGATGCGCCACACGACATGTCGTCGTTCCATCAAATTACATCACAATTTAAGAACCTGCATAACTTCTAAACAAGATATCATCTCGTATACGACCTTACAAGACTCCATCAGCTACCATCTTTCTTCCGGAATTCAAGATTGCAATTTACGGAGAAACTTTTCTCTGTTTGGAACCAGGTTAATGTTTCTGGAATGTATATCAAGTACATCGACTATAACTTATATAATTTCAGTGCTCGTTACTTAGTTAATTGAGTCACCTCGATTCAAATTAGTCTTTGATAAACTAATTATCAATTAGAGGACGTAAACAAATTCGAAATAGGTTGAAGATGTCAAACGTGGACGTGAGATCACTCACAATGGAAAAGTATTCAAGATCAACCACTTTCTTCACACTTGGGAGCAATTATAAAATTTCAATATCAGCCTGTCTATAAAGTTTTTTCATCAGTGGTAAACACAAAAGGGTCACCACTGAAATCAATAAAAACATCATAAACCAGACGGAAAAGTACTAGTGATTGAAGGTAATTTCATGCAGCGTGTAATTTGGAACACTTCCATCCCACAAAACTTGTCTCCAAGAACTAAAATCGTCACACTTTATAGACGAAAAGAGAAAAAATCATATTGATATTTATTGCAATGTAATGACTCCAGTATAATGTGCTACTTCAAGTTATAATCTGGATAATTAATGTTTTTCGGCTGCATTTTTTGAACGAATTCATAAATATTTCGACGTGAATTTGCTCACATTTTTTAATTGTTTAAATTATGTTTGAACCCAGACACTGTCTGAGAAGTTTAGCAATGAAAGTGAGCTGTGGGGGCAGTGCCAAATGAAAAATATTGCAGGAAAGAGTCAACATTAAGGACCATTTAGAACCGAAACAATAGTCTGCAGAAATTATTCTGCTTTGTTTATATTTTTCTCATAATTATCTATTGTTAGAATTTATAATTTTATTTCGGTTGACGGTAGAATGGAAGCCCAAACATCAAATATTATTTAGTAGATGATTGTATCTATAAGGTTTCAGTACGTCGTCTTGTTCCACAATCTTCTACTATTTAAAAAAATGAATTGTAAACAAACAATAATATGCACAAATAGATACTAAAACCACACAATTGTTAAAATAAGATTGATTTTGGTCAACGACTGAACAATATTAGGAGTAACCACTGGAATAAACAGGGGGTGGGTGGGCGGGGCTATTGCTTGTTTACAAAAGATTCTGTAGGAAAAAGTTAAACTTAGCCCCGCCCACCAACCCATTTTCTCATTTTTTGCTTCAGAAATAAGAAATAAATGTTATAGCAAATAAGTAGTACAACAAAAAACTTACGACTAACGCATTTTTTTTAGCAGCCTACTTTCTATTAGTTCCCTTTCTCACTTTACAAAAGAACATACAATTCGCCCCGCCCACCCACCCTGGCTCCATTTCAGTAATTCATTTTGTCTAATTCGAATGAAAGGTGGATTTCAAATGAAGAAAGATAAAATCGTTAGAATGCGAACAGCTTGTGTGGGCGGGGCTAGTATCGGCTAAGATAAGATTGATTTTGGTAAATGACATATCTGCTAAGAAAAAAAGGGTGGGTGGGCGTGGCTACGGCTTGCTCATAAAACTAGAAAAAAGCTGAATTTTGGCCCTGCCGACCTCCTTTCTCCATTTCACTGACTTCTTTTATTTAGTATAAAATGGTAATTGAAAAATAACAGTATTGTATTCCCAAAATTTTCTGGGAAAATAGAGGAGCCGTTCCTGATTTAATCAATAAAATAAATTGACTCATTTATTAATTTTTTTGAGTCACTTGTTTAAACAAATCTAAAAAATATGAATGCAGTTACTGATAAACCACAAGTATTAACTCATCATATTTTGCACATTTAAGATTATTCAGCAAAATTTTGAGGTGACGTCATCACTTTTTTAGGGGGGATGAGCACATACATTTTGATTAAAAATTTACCATGCTTATGATAACGTCAAAATTTCTGCAATATTTCAAAGCATTCGGTTTTGTAGTTCCTGATTAAATCAATAAAATGAATTCAGGCATTCATTTTTTTTTAATCACCCTGTGTATACAAATCCAAAAAATATGAATGTATTGATAAATTACAAGCACAAACTCATCATATTTTTTATTCGGCAAAATTTTGAGCAGACGTCATCAACTTTTTGAGGGGATAAGTAAATATATTAAACATTTACCATGCTTATCACAACTTTAAAACATCTGCAAGATTCCAAACCATTCTGTTTTGCAGTTTCAAAATTAAACTGCAAAGTGTCGTTTCATAATTTTGATTTTTTTTTCCAAAAATATGTACCTTTCGGGTAAAAATTCAATACGGGGTCATAAACTACCCATTTACTACGTACAGTTTTGAAGTGACGTCATCACATTATTGGTGGCAATGATTAGAGAAGTTTTGATTATCATTTTACCATCTACATGATATTCCTAATATAAATACAAAATTTGACAACAATTGGCCGAGTACTTTCGGAGATTATCTGTCTAATAAAAGTCCGGGACGACAGACAGACGAACAGACGGACAGATAGACGGAAACTGAAGACCTATTTTTTCGTATTGTAGGTGTCATGAAAGGTCGAGGAAACGTAAAAGTAGAGAGTTATTATTTATTAAAAACATAAGATGTCGCCATCGAAAATAAAACAAATTATAGTTGGCTGTAAAACTAGTTGGTACCGGATGTTCAATTGAAAAAGTCATCAAGTTGGCCTTGATTTTTGTAAACATTGTGAAATATTTCTTCAATAAACCTTCAATAATAATGACAGCTGACAACGCGGAAATGTCAGTTATACACAACAGTACGGATTAATGAAACACATGCGTTTCGCGATAGATTTTTTTTGTCAAAGCAAGGCCAACTTGATGACTTTTTGAATTAAACACACGTTACTACTGACATATTACATCATTCTGTCGATTCGTCACCTGTCAGTGTCACAGCTTAAATACTAAACTACAGCGTAATCAACTGTTTGAGTTGATATAAATTAAGTTTGACTGAAATTTGACACATAATTATCATTGACATGTTATAACCAAATTTTCTTGACCGCTTGAAAGTGACATAACCAGAGATATGTAAAAGACATTTACTTTTACATATCTCTGGACATAACGCCAAGCACTTGGATCAGGTTTGACAATAGCAGCACAAAAAAAAAAAAAAACAAAATTAGATGTCATTCAAACGGTATTTGTTGATCACAATGTATATTTTCCTAGGTATAGTTTTAATCTGAAGGATGAAAATTAGGCAAGATTTTAATTTTAAAAAGATATTAATTATTATTAAAGCGAATATTTGTGTTGGTAATACTTAACTATTGATAGGAGTAGGCCTAATTTAATTTAATTTAATTTAATTATTTACAAACGTAATGAGAAGTCAACTTATTAATCATCATAAAATTTTAAATATGTTGTCAACCTAACAAAAAAAATTACAATCTTTAATAGTCACTCAGTATTTTCGAACAGAAATAATTTAGATCCAGTTTTTCAATGTTTTTTAATATAATATACAATGTGATCAAAACGTACTATTTCAGTTGGCAATAGAATTAACCAATTTCAGAATCATTTTAATAATATTCAGTGACAAATTTTGACATAAATTAAATGTTACTGTCAATTTGTCAGTTTTGACAACACTAAATAACGTGGAGTGACAGGTCTACCAATTTCAAGAAAAATGTATTCATACCAATTGAAACAGTACTTGCTGATTATGCTGTGCCCATGGTAGAAGGAGACATGGTATAGGCATCCGATGTACCAATTTAAAAATGGTCTGCGCATCCATTTGTGACGTTAGGTGGCATCAACGACCTTGTGACTTTTGTGAGCTTCGCTAGGGAAGTATAGGGAATTTCAGCTTGGGTCTGTCCAATACGTCAATTAGTTGTCGGATAACGAAAGTTTGTATTTTAAATTTCGCGCTAATTTCACCCCACTTGACGTCACACCCGATGCGTATGCCTATACCATGTCTCCTTCTACCATGGCTGTGCCATAATGTGTCCAGGAAATACGAAAGAACTAAAAAAAAACTCAACTTAAATAACTGCTCAAATCAAAAGTTTTTGTTCGGAATGCGTTACTTTAAGAATAAAATTTTATGAGTTATGATAAAGTTAAAGAACAAAAAAATAGACACAACTTCCATGTTTCAAGTTTTTCACAATGACATTTGCAGTAGGAGATTGAAAAAAAGAAGTCGCCGAGTATGCCATGAAATTTATTTTAAAATAATAATGTTGGCACTACCGTAACTGTCAAACCGAACAAAGAACGCGTTATTTTATTACCAACATTTTTTTTTAATATTTAATAATTTCATTGCTTGCTAGACGATTTTTTTTCGATTATAATATCCATTTTGGAAAATAATATTAATAGCGACGCTATGGTTGACGCAGAATCTCAGAAAAATCCATTCATTAATTTTTTTTCGGGACATTCTCTATACGCAGTTTTGAAAAATATGGACACATTGATACATCACAACTGTAAACTTTAGATACAAATTTTCTAGCAAAAGTTTGAGATCAAGAGATAAACAGCCAAATTTTATAGTGGATTTCATACCTTCTAGAGTAAATTGT